TATATAATTAAATATTATTGTGATTACATTGGTGTGATCAACACAATAATCTAAAACAAACCAATGACAGTAACTGATTGCAACTAGTGTAATTAGGTACTTCCCATCGACATCACTCATTCGATTTCGTCGTTTACAAAATCTTGCTTTTGTCTTATTGTAACGTATTAATTTTGAAATATTTATTATTAATACAAATATTATTTGTCTGTCGTATTTCCTATTCAGTTAATTGCATTCAATTATATCATTTTAAGTGTTTCCGAAATTGCCATTCACCTCTACATATGACGAAGGTATTAGTATATCTTATTTTATTGCTATTTTTACATATTGATGAGTCATTTTTAGATAGTTTGTATGCACTATATTTATTATTATTAATTATTATCATAATTATTATTGTTATAAATGTTTTTGTTGTTTCTTGCATTTTTCTATTGCCTTGTCTATCATTATAGTTTAATTCACGATAGTTTTTTCTTAACTGTCATTATCAGTAAAATTCATCAATCATATAGTTATTGTTATTCGTATTATTATCACGTTCATTTTCAAAATCATTTCTCTCAGCAGTCAACTCATTATTCTTCATTGTTGCAGAAATGGTTTTATGGTTTATATGCTTCAAAGAAGACTCTTTAATACATTAACTTAGTGTATAATTCATTTCATTTCAATTAATACTCTTTCACTTATCACTACTATTATTTTGTAATAATTTATAGGATTTGCAAAGAGAGTTACAAAAGTGTCGCGATAATAATGAAAAAAGACTGGATTTAAGTTCGTCAGATGTGAGTTTCTATTAATTCGTATTCGTTATTCATTTCTTTGATTACACAGTGATATCTACATTTTGATCATAACAAAAGGAATCATAATCTCGTTAATTGTTAATAACTATGATGATACATCATTATCATAATAATAATGATCTTGTTTTTATCCGTTTCCCTTCAATTGTATTCTCGATCAGAGATCAGTTGGCTATGGCTGATACATCGTTGCATTGCACGCGATCTCGATCGAGCTGGCATCTGATTTCCTTTATTTGCACTCTGCATACAGTTTGCATTGACAGCACAATTTTCTTCGAGTGCTAAATGTCCTCCTCAACTTCAGCAACCCTCCAATTCATTGTTTTGGCATTAGAGCCTGGGATCGACATGCAAAGCTACTATGGACTTGTGTATGCGAGTGTTTGAGTTATAGGAGCATAAGGATGTAATAATTAACGTGAATATTCGAAGAAATGTTTCTTCTTTTCATTTCAGATCGTTAGTATACCATCATCAATACGTGATTTAATTCAGTTAACTGAATTATTTTTATACAAGAATAAGTTGACATCACTACCAAATGAAATTGGTAATTTGGTGAATCTGACAAAGTTGGGTCTTTCCGAGAATTCATTAACATCTCTTCCGGATAGTATATCAGCGTTAACACAACTGGAAACGCTCGATTTACGTCATAACAAGCTTAGTGAAGTTCGTGATTGTTGTTGCATAATTATCATGTTTCATTTCGTATAAATAGAGATGAATTGCAATTAAAGATCCCAGCGGTGATCTATCAAATCAACTCGCTAGAAACGCTCTGGTTGCGGTACAATCGCATCGTATCGGTTGGTGCAGAGATCGGTCGATTGAAACGTCTGAAAATGATTGATCTCAGAGAGAATAAAATACGAGAACTACCCGTTTCGATCGGTGATATTCCGTCGTTGATTGTCTGCTTGTTGTCTTATAATCACTTGAAAACGATTCCCGATGGTCAGTCATCTTTGATACACTATCAGTTGTTCTCTAGGCTATACGTTTAATCATTGTGATCACTTAAAACTATCAACGTTTACGTGCTCATTAATGCGTGCTTCACTTCTTCATTGAAACGAACAGAGCAATCGCACAGTTACAATAAAAAGTTTGTAGAAATTGGGAATTGTACTGAGTTGACTCAACTAGACCTGCAACATAATGATCTCGTTTCATTGCCCACAACAATGGGTAATCTGTCGAATTTGATTCGTTTGGGTATTCGTTATAATAAACTGCGACAACTACCATCTGGTATCTCAAATTGTCATAAACTCGAAGAATTCATCGTTGAAAGTAATCAACTTGAAACACTGCCCGTAATTCTCTTTTTTATTCTTTATTATTGTGCATATTCTTTTTATTACTTATAATAAACGCACGCTTTCATCGTGTGTTGTTATTGTTATCGTATAATGAATCAGCATTTGTTTATTTCTGATCGTTTATGTTATTATTAACAAGATACATTACAGGATGGTATGTTAACATCGTTACCAAATCTGAAAACGATCAATTTGAGTAGGAATGAATTGACAAATTTTCCGACTGGTGGTCCACAACAGTTTGCATCTGCAGTGGTGAGGTTTTGTTGTGGTGTTGATGTTGTTGTTTGTAGTTCATTTGCTGAGTTATTGGTATCATTATAGACAATCAATATGGAACACAATTCAATCAGCAAAATTCCATTTGGTATTTTCGCGAAAGCGATTGGTTTAACGAAACTAAACTTGAAAGAGAATGCACTTACCTCAATGCCTCTTGGTAATTTGTTGTTCATTTTGTTGATATTGCGTTTGATAAATACTGTTGGTAATAATAATAATAATAATAAATGTTAATGGTTGGTTTTGATAGTTTTGAATTAGTGGTGTGTTGAAGATATGGGTGATTGGACTGCAATGGCAGAGCTAAACTTATCAACAAATCAGCTGCGTGTTTTGCCAGACGACATTGACAAGTTGATCAATCTCGAGGTTCGTTTCTTTCATTCGTGTTTGTGGAGATCAAAAAGCAAGATTTTAGGTTCTTGTTCTAAGCAATAATCAGCTGAAGAAGTTACCGTCACAGATCGGTTCGTTGAAGAAACTTCGCGAACTCGATTTGGAAGAAAATGAACTGGATTCAATTCCAAGTGAAATAGGTGGGTATTGATTCATTGAAGTTATTTGTTTTTGATTTTGTTGGTATTTTCATTATTTTTGTTTTAATAATGTTTTTGGTCATATTGAGCTTCGTCTTTTTTCTTGAGGATTTGTTACAACACTCACGAAACTCTGGATTCAATCGAACAAATTGGTCAGCCTTCCAAGAACAATCGGGTAACTTTAAAAAATTGAAGCGATCAAATTAAATTGTTTGAATTTTTTACGCAACAGCGCAAAGATGTCACCAATATTTTTATTTGGACATGATTGTTGTTATAAACATGGTTGTGTCGATTGAATTTGTTTATTTATTCAGAAATTTAACGAATCTTACGGATCTAAGGGCTGGAGAGAATAATTTGACATGCTTACCGGAAGAAATTGGTAAATTGTTACTTATTTTTCGTTTACTGATACATTTTAGTTTAGTATTCGTTTCAGTTTGAAGTGTTCAACAAAAGGTTATCGTAAGTTTCGCGATATTAACTTTATACCTTCATTAGATATAGCGTGTGTTTTGATTGTGAAGAGCATATGTTTAAGTTGTTATGATTATCTAAACGATATCTGGCAATTAATTTATTTTAATGTTTGATCATTTGGAGGTAATCTGGATTCGTTAAAGAGTCTTTATATTAATGACAATTCATCATTGCATAATCTGCCATTCGAATTGGCACTATGCGCATCCTTAGAGATTATGTCTATCGAGAATTGTCCACTCTCACAAATACCACCTGAAATTACGGCCGGTGGACCATCACTTGTTATTCAGGTTAGCATCTTATTGTTGGTATTACTGCTAAGTTGATTAATTTCATTCGTAACTATTATTTGTTTTATGGAAGTGTTCCTTTTTTAGTATCTGAAAATGCAAGGACCATATAGAGGAGTGGTTATGAATATGTGAGACAAGCAGAGCTAAAATGATACGGAATGGGATAGTTATGTTGAATGTGTGTTTATTAGTAGGTTCGTCATTTGTTGTTAATGTATTTCATCTCTTCCCATTACTATCGTATTTTTTATGATTATTCTATTAGTATCGTTGCTATTGACATACGGAGTTCATTATTTTTTCATAATTTAAATGTATTATCATAGTTATATTTATAGTTATCTAATGAATAAAAGTATTATTTTTGTTAATACTCACTGAAAGTTATTTGTGCGGTTTTGTGTGTTTGGAATGCAATTTGAACGGGTGCATTTTGCTATTTATCGTAAGTTTCGTTGCTAGTATTTGTTCATTATGCTTTTGGTTATTATTGTTATTACGTTTCTTATTATTTCTTTCACTCAATGCATTTGTTTTTATACTGTTCCATTTTAACATCGACCTCAGACTGAGAAAGAATTATTAATTTGAATGTGTGTATCATTGACTGTACTTGAAAAATAGAAATCTTATGAGTTGAATTAACTTGGATGAGCACTAATTATGTATCTGTGTGACGTTTTGGTCTTGATTTTTAATTTTTTAACTCCTTACTAATTCATCCATCAAATTATTGATGTGGATATTGGTATTATTAGTACCATTATCATTACCATTTTTATTATTACTATTATCGTTATTCAACAATATTACAATCAGTAGACGTATTAATGACATTATCTGTTATTACTGTCGTTTTTATTATTGTTGTTTCGAATTATCAATGTCGTGGAAATATTTAGGAATTTGAAGTATTTGTCTCCATCTCGACTAGCAAAAATTGTTTTTGGATTATGATGGAATGTCCAAATATCGTACATTCTTAACTGATTAAGTTAATCGTTCTTTGCACGTTAATTTATTATCGATATTCTGATGGGTTATATTCATTCGTGTATTTCAATTGAAAATTATGGCGCTTCCGATAAATTGTTTCATTTATTACAATTATCGCTAATGTATTATTAACATCTTTTTGTTAATTTATATTAAAATAAATAAATGATGTTATGTCGTTATCACAACAGAGTGGAAATGCAATAGTTTGACAAGTATTTTCAGACACATCAAAAATTATTTTGAATATTTATTCATTATCGGATATTCATCCTTATAAGTTCATTGCTTAGAAAAGAAAAAATGATTTAGACTAGAGAACGGCTGAGTAAATTAGTATAACCGTTATCAATAAGATTGTTTTCATCATCAGTGCATTTCATTCAAATAATATGAATCTATAGATGTAGTTGGCTTTGACTGAGAAGAAATCACAGTATTTTCAGATGACGATGGCAATACCACTGATTGTACTTTATTGCAATTACCGAATTCCTTATCATTCTGAAGTTGTTCGTTGTCGTTCTGTTCAATATTATCATCAGGGTGCTTATAAAAATAATATGATATCGAAAGAAAGAATATTATCATGGCCTTTATACCAATTGCTGAAAGTTGAATTGTATATAAGTGGGTACTTCTAGGATTCTGATTTTTTTTTNTTTTTTTTTGAAGTATCTAAATTCGAATGATCCAAGTGGCGATAATCAGAGCGGCACATCGCAGCTCAATACATTTGAGCTTAGGCTCATGCCGTGGTTAGGGTTCCATTAAACTAATGGGTGGTTCTGATGGTGAAATATCTAAAAGCAAATGGATGGTTGTGTGACGCCAGAAATAAATAGATTGATGCTAGTTATGGGCCTGAGCTTGAGCCTGAATCTGAATGTAATGCACCGCAATATTCCTCTTTGATTACTGAACCTCTTCAGAAGTGTCTATGTAATAATAAAGTTAGATCAGAAAAACTGCAGGTGGGAATAACTAACGAGTTCATCTATCAAATAATGAATTCCATGAACTGATCGAAAAGATTTAGCATAGTTTTGTGGTATTGAATTGAATGAATGGTCGTTTTGTTCAATTTAATTTAGCCTTGTTGAATGATTCATTGTTTTCATGTGGAAGGGTTCATGATCATTATTCTTGATGTTATTGTTTTGCTGCGAAATTTGAAATGAAAGTTGATACCGAACATGACCATTGATCTTGAAAGGCCATAAGAATCGTATCTGAGGCACGATTGTTGCACTCCACATTCTTCTTTCCATAAAATACATGTTCGATCAATTGCAAATCCAAATATTATCGCTCCAGGTATAGAACCTATATGAATGCCGCATACTGTCATGCTATTATTATTCCTCTAATTCTCATTGTTACTGCTATTATTCATCGGTCTGGTGGGATGATACTTGATTCGGAAAACTATCTATCGCTTTGAATTGAAGCGACTTTTGACTGAAGTGGTATCGTCTGCAGAATTAAACATCATAGATGAATGAAAAATAAACAAATTCGAAACGAACCAAAAATACGCATAAATAACCATGTTAAGCCAATTGCAACGTCACGAGTATCAAACGAGACAACTCTTGAATAATGATCATTATTGTTATTATATTTCATTGTGTTTTTATTCATACAATGAAAATCACTCGTCAGCACTTTCCTACCAAACGTAATGAATCGCAAAAAAAGAGTTGAGAATGAGCAAGAGCAAGCGATGTGTTACAAACGAAAGTGTCTATTCAACTCTTGCTTTCTGTATTTGCTCTACCATCATTCAATTAAATTTAACTCTCATATTTGTAACAAACAACACGCCCATTGAGCACTCCTTAGACCAGGGCCTCTCAACCGGGCATGCATGCACTCTCAGGGGGTGCAAGATGCTCTTCTAGGGGTGCGAGAGGGGATGCGATGAGAAGGTGTGCGAGAAGAGGTGTGGGAGGGGATGCAAGATAAGTTTTCATTTTTTGTACATTAACGTAGGCGAGTTCAAAATTGAACGCATACATGTGTGTAAAGTAGGCAATACTTTAAAAATAATTCTTTCGTCTCGATTCATTCTTAAATGAACTATTGCTGTAGGGAGTGCGAAGACATCTTAGAATTTTCCGAGGGATGCGAGTGGCAAAAAAGTTTGAGAACCACTGTCTTAGACGAATGAACCATAATTCCAACAAAAAAAAGAAAGAAACAAGCAACAGATTCTTTCTACGCCATCTTTGAAAATTTTCGGATCTTTTTGAGCGTTTGGATACGTTTGATAGAAGAATGACAATCGATCATAATGTCAAAATAATTTTCATGAAACTATTATGAAAGAGTTTTTTTGCATTTATTCATGTCATAATTTCACATGTGAAAATACGTCACTCACCTCAATGATGCGTTTTGTATGGGAATAGCAGTGCCGAAGGTGAAGAAGCAAAGAAGTGCGAATATTACGAAAAAGAATATCTGCGAACAATCACCTTTACATAATCCCTGTAATCATATCGCATAATAATCATATCTTTGTTTGTTTCTTCACTTCATTTTTGCTCTTCATATACATACATTTATGAGCGAGGAGAGCGAATATTTTTCAATTCACCCATTATCATTATTCCGTTTCACTGAGAAGTTTAAGTTTATAATACATACTTTTTGGACGGATAAAGTTGGCACTTGAATATTTTTTTGTTGAGCAGCATTCCGCTTGGCAGTCGTTGAAAAAATGGTGGTGCTATTATTATTAGTAATGTTATTATTATTATTATCATTCGTAACCCATCGCGCAACACAAGCACACGACGTCCACTGTTCATAGTCATGCGCAGATAGCAACATCGAATTGTCGTTTCTCTTTTCATTATCGTGGTTATCCTGTTGAATCATCATCAGTATTCATTCATATTTATAAGCATAGATATTATCACTGTTTTTGTTACGAGCAGATTTTTATAGATTTTTATAAAATTTTTCAGATTTTTTCAGATTTTTATAGCAGATTGTTATGAACAGATTTTTTTATAAGCAGATCTGGGGCAGTGGTTCTCATAGGGGGGAGGGGAGATAAATTCCTCCCTGGGGAATTGTTTGGGGGTGTCAGGGGGTATTTGAGGGAGTCCGCAAACTAATATTCCGTGCAGTTGTTATGCTCTTATGAAATCCCATTGTGATATTACTCGAAACGCGGTTCACTCTCCATTATCCCATTTTCAAGTATTTTTAGCTCGTTTAGGCCTGAACAAAAGTCAGTTTAAAGTAGTCACAAATATTTCGTATGTTCTTTAATATGTTGTCTGTCATCGTCTCTTATGAACTGATTGAGCTCTTTAGTACGGTAGAAAAGATCATTGGAGCGAGGAGAGCGAATATTTTTCAATTCATTCATTATTATTATTATTCTGTTTCACTGAAAAGTTTAAGTGAGTCTTTTAATTACCTCATGTAATGGGATTTTTGGTTCGTAAATGAATTCTCGAATCAAGTAGATGCTGAGTTGTGTCATTGCCATTTGGTTTGTGACAGATGTGTATTACAATGTGGTGGATGTGTTGTAGAATTCTAGATCGAAAATCGTTGTTTTCACATTTATGAACGAGATGCCTAACCATGTTGTTGCTTTCATAGAAATAGTAAGTTCTTGTAATGGGGAAGGGGCAGCGGTAATGACGGCCTACCAGACCATCGAAGAGGATAATGGAGCTCAAGAGCGTGAGAGCCACTGATCTGGAGACTGTAATGTGAATGAGTATGAAGTAAAGCTCAGGTAAATGAATAAAAGCTTATTACGTGTAAATAAACTGATTGACTTGTACAGCCCGCGTAGCATGCTGAATAATAGGTGACACCAATTTGTGTGTTACATACTGGATCGTAAGCGGTTGATGAGCAGTGACAGTTTCTATTACATGATGATTCGAGATCTTTAATGGTCTTTAAGGGACTTGTGTTGTTATTATTATCGTTGTTGTTATGGAGTAACGACGATCTGCAATTACAGTATGGAACATTGCAGGGAACTAGGATATTACATAGTGTGTTGTGTGGATCAGGGAATTTCGGAGACCTCGTTCTCGAATGCTCGTCCCGATAGTTTTTGAACCGGCTGCATTTTCGGGATCCTCAACTGCAAAATTTTATCGCCGCAACACACTAATGCACGTAATTGTGTACTAGTGTGTTGCGATGATCGAGCAATTTCGAGGACCCCGTCCCCCATTCTCCGTCTCCGACTTTTCCTCAGTCGACTGCATTTTCAGGATGCCCGACTTTTTTCCGTCCTCACAACACACTAGTATTGCAATTAAGTATTATTATATGATAAAAATATTATCATAAGTAATCGCAAACTCTGACCCGGTGTAGGAATACGTAACACCGGCAAAAGGCCGTTGTTCACATTGATCAAAGAAAACGAATGAGAGACATAGTGCGAAAATGTTGAATATAATCGCTAATAATATTGTCGGTTGGAAGCGCAACGTCCTTTTGGCCATATAAGCTCCAAATAAACTACCAAATAAGCCCATTGGTACTACGATTATACCTGAAATTCGGATTGTTTCATTGAATCATAGTAATGATAAAAATAGTTATTATTATTATGATAATAATAATGAGATACCAGTGATTGTTGATGAAAAGCTTGCTGAATATGAGAAAATATTTTCGAAAACTTTGGGTATGAAAGTGATTAATCCATTCATTAGAAAGGCTTCACATGTTTGCATAGCGATTAAAGCCATTACGGACGCGTTGCTCAATAAACTCTGAAGGTATAATAATTACTGAATTATTTCACGTTTGCACGATTCTAATATCTTTTCCGTTCATGTTGTTTTAACAATTCAATCTACTAGTCAGCATATTTAGTTTATTTGATAAACACAACGAGAATTAATTGTAAACCTCAGGTAGAAAATATGGTGAAGAGCGATTTTAACGGAACAAAATCAATTTCTTAAAATTATCACGTTGCGCTTTCCTGTTTACTTGCAAATATTGCAAAAAGAAGGAGCGATGTTAACTGGCAGTGATGATGATGTTAACCTTAATGGGCGACTGCTTGAAAGCAGAAACAATTGAGAATCACGGCTGTGAAAGTCAAAGAATGCGCAATAATAGTTTCCACTAACCATAACAATTTTTGGAAAATCCAAAAGTGATTTGCCAAACTTTCGATCTAAATCTTTGTGCGTTTGCTTGACATCTTTAAGACGATGTCGTTGCCTCTCTTTAAATAGTAATTATGATAATGATAATCGAGTTGATTCGATAAAACAGAGCAGTGATTTGTATGAGGTGTTGCAGTTATTGGTTTGTGAGATAGAAATTGGTTGGTTGCTTAATTATTTGGGAAAATTGCTGAATGGATGAAACGAAATTCAGTCAGTTAGCTTCCATTTTGCTAATGAATGGAATGGGAATAAAACAGAAATACCCACCCACTCACCGGGAAGCTCTTTCGGGAAACCGAAGAGCGGTATAGCTGATAGGATGCTAAGAATGGCTGCCACTGCAAACCCGATCCACCAAGCACCGTACCATCTCGGATCTGTCGTACCACTTATATTCAGGCTGAAATTTTTTTTGCAAAATGTCTCATTTATAAATATATTTATTTTGCAATTCGCACTCTGTCCATCAGTTTGTTTCAATAATTCAATCTAACACTGCAGTTCTTCATCTCATTTATTTGACAAATATTATAAAACAAGAATTGCAAACCTTAATTCCTGAACCTACTCTAAACCGTATCATCATTTATTTACTAATAAACCTACTCTCTATAATCAGTTTTGCCAATATCACCCCAAATTTTCAATAGTTGCCCTCCAACAATGAAACCAATCGCTGGTCCAACAGTCGACATAGCCATATAAATACCTGGACGAATGATTAAATTTAATTTATTAGTTTGAAAATTTGGTGATTCAACACCATTCAAACGTTTTTTCACAACCAACCGAGCGTTCTTTGATGTAAGAAGGCCAGTCGTTCAAGCTGATATTATAATAAGATAGTAGTAATACGATTCTCAATAATGTTATTTTTATTATGATAAATGAATTTTCTAAGAATATAGTCTTGCATAATAAAAATTCACAATTAACACATTTGCGATGAATGAATATATACCAAGGTATAAAGTGACACTGTTCTGTGAGACATTCTCATCCAGATACGAAATGCCCAGAGTAAATAGAGGAGCTGCACCGATGCCGATGAAAAGTTGTGAAGATAGCAATATATAAAACCATCTGAAACTGATCCATCCGCTCATCTACCTTGTTCTCATTGACAAACATTATGAAATATTATTATTTTTTTGGATATTATTGTGATTACTGCTGCATATTTTTATTTTTGTAATAAAAATACAATGATTATTATACAATGATAATCATTATATAATCATCGTAATATCATTGTCATTATTACTATCATGATTATAATATTAATGGTATTATTGTTATCAATTATACATATAATAACAAAAATAATAATAATTTAATAATAATATAATATAATAAAAATGTAATACAATAATAATAATAATTGTTATTATTATCAATTATTATTATTTAATACTGCAAGAAACGAACATTGAGTTAACTGAGTTCGTGTGATCATCAGCTGAACATGAGTTAACATCATCGGCAGTTGAGAACGAATGTTGCTGCTTGTGGTTGTTATTGTTATTATAATTGTCATTCAAGCAAACGTTATGGTGTTCCTCACCAACAGTGTAATTACCAGCCAGAAAATGCGGTAATATGAGCAAGAATGAGCCGATGGCCACCAAGACCATGCCCGTTGCAATCACTCGACCCTTGTGACCTTAATTGTATCATTCGGCAAATCCTATCCAAGCTTACTGACTCATTTCATTGTAATAGCTGTAATAATAGATGCAGCTTCATAAAATAGACAAACGAATCATTGAATGAATGCACAATCAAGCAGATAAGTGAAACGTACATTTATTACCGAAGTGACTGAGTGGTATAAGCACAAGAACGACGGCGATATCATAAAAAGCACTGAAAATACCCGACTGTGTACTTGATAAATTGAATCGTTTCTCGAGCGATGAGATACTTGTCGATATAAAACCATTCACAATTGAACCTTGACATACCGCACATATGCATAGTGCTAACAGCAAAATTGGTGAACGATTTACGTGCTGTAACCATGTGGGTTTATAACTGAAACGTGAAAATATTACCGTTCAATGACGTGAATTGAGGACGTAATGAATATGATAATCAATTTGATAAGAAACGATAATGAGAATAATATTTTTGGTGATAACAAGAGTAACGGTAGAAATTCATTCACTGCGAAGTTAAATTGGATCATGGTTCCGTTCATCTTTGTTGGTATGTCTCGCTCATTAAAACGCTCGCTCGCTTTTTGAATAATTAAGTGAAGCGAGATGGACAAGTGAATGAGCGAGTAATTATAAGCATAAATATGATGGATCGCTGACTTAGGTAAAAGATACCTTGCATATCCGAATTTAAAAGAAGTCGAATTTTGAGTTGAGTTCGTCGATTTTGATTGTGAGGAGTTGAGGTTTGGATTGCGTGAAGCTGATTCGTGTTCGTATTGAATTCGGTGATTATGATGAGGATTGGATGCGCGTTTATTGTGCTCACTTGGTTTTGATGAAGATTTCTGATCATCTAATTGTGAAAGATCATGAATTTTGATACGAGCATTGTTGCTGGTTTCATTGTCATCGGTGTTATTGTTATTATGATTTACTGTCATATTAACAACAAGCGTTACGATTGACTGATTCTGTTTGGTGATGACTGGAGTCTATTTTGAAGAACTCGAGGTTTTTCAGCTGAAATTTTGTTGATTAAGATAAATGGATGATTAATGATGGATGTTGTTTGAATATTATGAAGAGCAGTAATATTGAATGCGGTATTTCTTCTCAATTAAACAACAACAACAACATTACATCACATTCAACTTGCACCTGTTTTATTGATGATCAGCAGAAAATAGAAGTTGTTAAATTCTAGCAATTGGCTTTAGAATTAGCCTCAAGATTAGCTGATCCAGGTCTTCTTGTTCAATGATAATTGCAGATTGTTTCAACACAATTATGACCAAATTTGGTTGTCGAGTATTTTCAGATAAAATTCAGTGTTGACTTGTTGACGTGTGTATAGACGGTGTTTCTCACTTGAACAATTGAGGAATTTATTGATTATTTTCAAATCTTTATTGATGAGTGAATGCCTAAAATGATTCATGGTCAAGTTGAATGTGATGGCTATCGAAAGTGATAATGCGCACACTTCGATTGCTGATCGAACGCAAAAGCTACGCAATTCGAGTCGGTTTTATTACAAATGCAGAGTTTAGTTAGTACAAATAAAGCAGTAATATGTCAAGAATGACTGAACGATTTTAAGGACGATGATAGTTGGAATAAGAAGCTGTAAATAATAAAAATAATTTTTGTCAGATGTGGTTGTCAGCATAGATTGTCATGGGTAGTGAGTGATCAGCCACGATTAAGACGTTAAGTGTGCTCAGATATTGGGAAGATATTGCAGCAGACTTTGGTGTCACGTGAACAAAGTGAACGAACCATTGAAGAAAGATGAATGAATATATTTGCTATAATGTATCTAACAGTGGTAGTGGCAGTGATGAGGTAGATAAGGGTGAATTTTGTTAATTAATTGATTAATTAAAAAAATTAATTGATTGGTTAGTTCGTTTATGAGGAGAAGTAGGTACAACCACCGAGTAGTTAGTAAAGCTGAATGATAGATTGGATGGACGAAACACGATGAAAGAGGTGAATGATGATAAAATTCTTTTGTAATCGAGAAAAATAATAGTGAAAGAAGTTGATGATGGTGGTGTTCCAATGAAATAATCACTGAATTCATTTGTGTTCTTTCTGAAACAGGGCACGCACCTGCGTACGCACATTCTTTTTACATTAACGTAATGATAATAACAATAATGGCAGGAAGAAGAAAATTTGAAAATAATCTATTTAAGTCATTGTAAATGGCAAGAAACGAGTTATATTGGATTGATTTTGATTGCGGTGATGATAGTAATGAATAAAGTATGATTTGAAATGAGATCGACTTATATAGCTTAAGTGACTGGCTGTTACTGAGTGCTTATCTTTCTAATCAGCAAATCAATGATCATACTAATGATTAACAAACGAGTAAGCAATCAAACCAGTCGCACGAATATCTCCTATAT